TAGGGCAAGTCTCCTCCTCTTTCTTTTCCTTGTAATCTGATGGTTGGAAAAAAAAAAAGAATACAGTAACAACAAAATAGTGATTTACTAGAGGACTATTACAAACATGAACCCACTAGTTCTAAATGACATAATAATTTCTGACGTCTCTGATGAAGGTGCAGAAGATCCTGCCTTTTAGGTGCTTGAGGCTGAAAGAACTGTAAAAATTGAAAATGGTATCCCAGTTTCCTATATCATTCATGAGAAGAGTCAGCCTTTGGAATGGATGCTGCAGGAGAAAGCACACTTCACACGTGCAGGCAACTATGAAGAAAACATTGGCAATGGTGGCAGATGTGTTCTGAGTTTTATTTAACATGTTTGGACTATATTCCCCTCTTGATGATTAAATCAGTGAAGTCATCTGCTGGGTGTAGACATTAATATTTATTTAGTGTTTTAATATTTTTACTGTCACCAGAAGTGATAGTATTCTCTCATACCAAAACACTGAAATATTAATGTGCATTGAGTAGGATCTGGCAGTTCATATTCTCTACTGTAGCACTTCTGTCATGAAGTTAAACTTAGAGAAATCTCTCTAACTGAGGAAAATTACAATTCTACTTAAAAAGACAAACTTAAGGTACTAAGTCTCCCTAATCAAAACTACTCTTGTACAGTTCATCAGAATTTTAGTCAGAATTAAGCAGTGGAAGAAGGAAGAAAAAAATGCTTTCAGACAGGTTTAGTAAAGTCCTGTCCTTGTGGTACAAAGGACAGTTATTGAAGTTGCCAGTATACAGCAGGAGAAAATACCAGCAAGCTTGGGTGAAATCCTAGTTCCTAATGATTGTAAGTCTGAATATGGAAAAGGATTTTGAAACCTCTCATTCCAATCTAAGCAAGCCATGGAATGTAGATACATTTTGATTAGTAAGTGATATGATATTTAGTAATTCACTTTGTCAAAGAAGATGACATGAGACCCATATTCTTTCTGGCTCTACAGAGGTGTTGCGGAAGTCCTGACAAACACATTCAGCCCTGCATGCCGATGATAAATCTTCTGCTCCTTCTCATGGTGCCTAACAGCCTGATCAATGTAAAAGGAAATATCCTTTGGAAACATTAATTTTAGAGCGCCACTTCTCACCCCTGGGCAAATTCATACAAAGGTAAGCACAGACCACTTGCAAGTCCTTCTACTTAAAGTAAATATTAGCCACAGAAGCTGTATCTATACTAAAAAATGAAGCATGTATGGGACTGTTTGTTGACACTATAGCCAGCTGGCAAGGACCAGGCCACATCCATACTATGAAACTCTTTATTGCCCTAAACCAGGGTGCTCACATACAATGACTTATTACAAAAGCTCCTTCACCCATCGTAACTCTCAAGCTATGCCAGGTATTTTTTGGGAAGAGTACTAGATGGTCCATTTGGCCCAAAATCCATGGTAGTGATCATTCTAACGTAAGTTAAGAATATAAATGATGGCTTTTCACTATCTGGGAATGTTCTATGATATTTACTCTGAGTGAAGTATAGACTGAACAATTTCAGTTTAGCTGAGAATATGGAACTAAACCCACTTCAGAGACACTGAGGGATGATATTGTCCTGCAAACAGGCATTACTTTCTTCCTGGATTTATTTCTGCCCAATGACATGTGATTGTCTCTTCTGAAGTAGAAATACAGAATAATTGTCTTCTCAATTTTCCTGCAAAGAATGACATGCAATCAGCCTCTGCCATGGAAGAACAGGAAGTGCAGGAATGGGAACACTCTGCGGTAGAAAAGCCCATGTTCTTTTCTTCATTTTTTCATTAGGTTTTCTGAGCTATCATACTATCAGTCTCAGAAAATAATCACTTCAAACCCTGTTTGCCCTTTTGTCATTCAGTTCATTAATTCTCCAAGGAAAGCAAAGTTATAATGAAAGTAGCATATGAGGTACTGTAGAAAGGAAAAAGTTTGAAGGTGATTACAAAGCACCAAAGTAACTTTTTTTTTAGTTGCCTCTGCTTCCGTAACATCCATGGGGTTTGTACAAGTGTGTCTAGAAACAGGCACTGCTAAAATGCCTGATGATGTTGGCATTAAAGCTGAACAAAACCTTGGATCCCTACAGAGGTTCAGTGTAGCAGTAGCAATGCGAAGCTGTTTTTCTTGGGTTTACTTGTTTTTATATCTAGTAAAACCATCATTAAGTCCTATTGTACTTGCTGTAGAAAATTAGAACATGGTGAAGATTAATACTCCAATGTCAGAAGCTGTAATTTCATTGCAATGATTTTTCTACTACTATTTTTTATTATTTACAGGTTTTAGTCAGCTAAAGAACCCAGCTGAAATATTTAAACACTTTATAAGCCTGACCATGTTTACAGACAATAAAGAAATAACAGAAAATGAATAACATGATAAAGAAACACATAAATTATATTCCTGTATCACTTAAACTGGGATTGCCTCTCTGCTGTGAGGCCTTCTGTTAATACAGGCTGAGAATGGAGGATCTACTCCCAGGCAGTTTGGAGAGCTGGGTGATAACTAAAACCAGCATCTTTGAACTCTTTTCTGTGCTTCCACACAACAGTGCCAGGAAGGCATTGGGATAGGTTTTACTGCTTTGTGGACTGACTCCTTGGCTGTAACTAACTTCTGATACATGGCTGAAAAGAGAAAAAAAAATCCCCACATGTGTATACAAAAAGAGGAGATAATGGAGAAGGGGGGAAAGAAAAATAGCTAAAAATGAGTGGATGAGAAGAGTATCCACAAAGGAAAAGGGTAGAAGAAATGAAAAGAAGAAGGACCTTTAAATTACAGAAAACTACATGGCATAGATTCTGTACATTTCTATTCAAGCAGTATAATAAAATCTTTGGATAAGTCACAGGGAAGAGTTGTCCTGATTCCAACAGGCTTACTTCTCTGAGAAGATCTACCTTGGTGCTTACCATTTTCCAGGCTCAAGGCCTGAAGTAATCTGAGGTTACCAGAAAAAAAAAAAAAAAAAGTGTATGTCACAAGTGATATTCTTCACCTCTCTCAAAGCCTGATTGTGCTTTAAGAGCATTGTTCATATTACACCCTCAGTGAAATGTCTTCGCGTGACTAACTTTTCCTGTTATTTTTCTCCATACATGATCATTACTAAAGAGTCAGTATCTGCACATGCTTGGTAGTTAAAGGACATACCACAGTGATGGGACATATTGAATTTGAGTTGTTCTACTCCTTGATGAAGACTCCAGACCTCACAGCCAATGTAGCAGTAAAAGAACTTCTTTCACTTTTCTGTTCCAAATTGCTAGCAGAGAGGTTTTCTTCAGACTATACACAAAGGAAAAGGGTAGAAGAAATGAAAAGAAGAAGGACCTTTAAATTACAGAAAACTACATGGCATAGATTCTGTACATTTCTATTCAAGCAGTATAATAAAATCTTTGGATAAGTCACAGGGAAGAGTTGTCCTGATTCCAACAGGCTTACTTCTCTGAGAAGATCTACCTTGGTGCTTACCATTTTCCAGGCTCAAGGCCTGAAGTAATCTGAGGTTACCAAAAAAAAAAAAAAAAAAGTGTATGTCACAAGTGATATTCTTCACCTCTCTCAAAGCCTGATTGTGCTTTAAGAGCATTGTTCATATTACACCCTCAGTGAAATGTCTTCGCGTGACTAACTTTTCCTGTTATTTCTCTCCATACATGATCATTACTAAAGAGTCAGTATCTGCACATGCTTGGTAGTTAAAGGACATACCACAGTGATGGGACATATTGAATTTGAGTTGTTCTACTCCTTGATGAAGACTCCAGACCTCACAGCCAATGTAGCAGTAAAAGAACTTCTTTCACTTTTCTGTTCCAAATTGCTAGCAGAGAGGTTTTCTTCAGACTATAAATTTGGTTTCTTATTTTTGAAGTCTCTGATGTAAAAAGTTTCTGGATTTTATTGAGCTGTTCCATCTGTAACCTGCCTCCCTAAGGAAAGTGTAGTGCACCTACGTGACTTAGAAAAACTAGGAAATGTACCATGCATATAGAATCATTGAATCGTTTAGATTGGAAAAGACCTTTAAGATCAAGTCCAACCTTATGTCAGTGTAAGGTCTTCCCAATGGGAAAGACATTTTTAAAATATGATTTTTCATGCTTCCTTGTGATACTAGTCTATCTCTTCCTAGATGAAACTTCAGAAAAGACCAAATTACCTTTAACATAATTTTGACCCCAAAATTCCCAAACCAACATACACAGGAAAGCACTTCAGATGAATGGAAAGAGACAATGCTTTTTCATCTCTTTTTCATCTCCTTTTCCTCTCCTCATGTTTTAGATTGAGAAATGCTGCACATCTGGAAAACTGTTTTTCACTGCTTTTAAAACAGAGAGAAGACGATATATGTTAATTCTGAACTAATTCAGAATTAAAAATTAAATACAATGTACAATAATGGCCCTATTCAATTTGCTACTCATAGCTTTAACTTTCTAAACATATTTCATTATCTCTTCCCATTTGTTACAATTAAGGCAAACTGAAGAAATTGGAAAAAATAAGACAAAAATTTTCAGAATGGTATTGCATAATTTAAAGACTCTGCTGTCAGTCTTAGTGAAATCTTACATTGCAGCCACTGTTAGTTTCATCAACATATTTGAAAGCAAACAAATTGATCACTATTTCTTTACCTTCTCAGGCAGAAAAAAAAAAAGTTATACTGGTTAAATATGACATTAAAGTAAAGCTATAAACTCCATATGGTGTTATGGAGAAATAACATAGTTACCTAGTCAAAATCAATTTCTTTCCAATTTTTCCATGCCTTCTAGTTTGGCTTTGTATCTACTGACACCAGGACTTCTGATATTGACTTCAAAGAGAAAAAAACGGATCTCTTTCTGCAAGGTGGTCACATGCAGTTTCCAGTTGCAGTGTTATGCTCTGGCTTGTTAACTGGTCTGACAATGTGGTGATTTATTTTATACTTTCTCATCATACCTTGAGAATTTTGCACATGATCTCATAAACTGAAAATGTTTTCTCAGCTCGCGTCCAATCCCAGGTTGTGACCTTGAAAACAAACAAACAAAACAAATAGGAAAAGAAAGTAAGTTATTCTTCTTTATTTCAAGAATTGTTTATTAAAAATATATATACATTATTAAACTATTTACATCCAGTATAATATGTACAGAAGGACCAAGCTCTGTCTCAGAGCAATAACTACCAGGGCCAGACTATTCAACCCAGGCAGTGCTTAGGAGACATCCCGAATCTGTCCTTGTGCTTACAACACGGTGCCTTTGCCCACAGGCTGCTCTGTGCTGAATGATGAGGCTCCCCCTGGGAACTGGTGGGGGTTGCACTGAGATCCTCAGGGGATGCAGCCTGTTAATTCCTCTCACAGAGCCTTGACTATAAGAAGGTATGTTTCTTACCACTTCTCTCCTTGCTCCCAGTCATCTACATTGTTTGCAAATCCATAAAACCAAGTTCTCCAACTTTGCAATGTCCCAGACACTTACCCCACATGCCTTGATATCCAGGGGCAAAACCAAACAAGAAACAACAGAGGCAAATACAAATTTTCTTTTTTACTTACCAAATTTTATCTACTCCTAAATTCTAACAAACTAAGATAATATTTCTCCTCTTTGTCTTAGGATTTGACAATTGCTTTTAACAGCATTCATTTTAATCAACTATTTTACACAAAAAGTTGCATAGATAAAAGAGTACAATGAAATGATGCAAGGGTAAGGGTCATGACTTAGATAAGACAGAAGAGGATAGATGGATATAAGGGAAGAGTCAATCAATATCACAGCAATCTATAAATAGCTTTCCAAGGAAATTGCGAGGAGGAAAGAGGACAATTATTCACAGTCTCAAAAGAGAGAACCACACACAAAAGAGAATGAGAATTTAGCTACAGATGAAAAAAAACTTAATGGTAAGAAGTTTTGAACAGTATCCCAGCTCCAAAGGAAGACAGTTGTGTCATTACAATTGTTAGGCAAGATGAAGAGGCTGATGAAGACAGAAGTTTATTTGGTCTTCAAGATTGAAGAACATAAAGTTCTTTGAAAATTGTATCATAAAATGGTATCCACAGCATATGAAGAAAATATTATATGAGACCAATTTATCTTTTATCTAAAGAGAAAAAAATCATTAATAGATGCAACATGTCTAAGAAGCATGTATGGGTTTGCATGCCTTGGTTAAAACTTTCTTGGTGAAAATTATTTTGGTGTTGTACAAAAAGAAAATCTATCCCTAACTAGTTTTTAGGTATAAACACTATTGGAATTGAAACTCCTTTGAGGGAATGACAGTTGGGAATGAAAAGTTCAAAAATACAGTGTCATAGTTCCTCTTCTGTTAGAATTTTATTTATTTGCAGTCATCCTCAAACTCAATTTTCACTATCTTATTGAAGCATGGGTATTAAACCAGATTTCTAGGAAAGAGAATGACTAAATATTGAGAATCAAGAAATTGGCTGAAATAGAATGAGGAAGTAAAGAAATATTGGAAATACACAATCTTTATGCCTAAGTTTTAAGAAGCTATCTTTTGTCAAGGAGAGAGAAGGGGAAAAAGCTGCTCTTTCTACTGTGGACAAAAAATTAACTTTTCTCACCATGAACAGAGAAATGGGGAGAAGAGTCTTGCTACAGCTCCACTGAGCCCAAAATACCAGCCACACAAGCTGAAGTCATATTGCCCCATCAGGAAAAGTAGTTACTATGGCTGCTGAAGCACAAAGCCATCCAGGTCTATGTTTAAAAGATTACTGTAGGCTCCATACTTTGTGGAAAAATATCAGAGCTCCCCTTTCTCCCCTAGTTTTCTGCTTTTGTTTGTACTTATAAAAGGACTTTTTTCAGGTCAAAACAAAACTCTTCTGATTTAAAGATATGTGCAAAGCAAAAGCAACTGTGGAATTAAGACACCCATAGAAATTGCTTGCCCTTTTCGCTTTTAATATTTTAAAAAAGCTTGAGTAGCAGGAGAAATGGTGTTAGCAGCTCTTTCTCAATTAATGTCCATTCTCTCTGAGATTTCCAACCATAAACTGTAAGAAATGAAACCCACCAGACTTGACACACTTAATAACTCTAAAGGAGAAAATGTACCAGGACACAACAGAAAAAGAAAAAAGAAATAGTTTTGTTTAAAACTTTCAAAATGCAAATAGGATATGTTAGAATTGCTAATTTATCCAAGCATGGAAAGTAGAAGTACTATTGATCACACAGATAAAAAAAGAGGCAGGGGGAGGCCGCTGATATACACTGTTTAAATACAGGGTTCCCTAATGTGTTAGACTTTGGCAAAATCCAGGGAAATATTTTCATTTGATTTTCTGGTTAAAAAGTTGGCAGCATATCTCTGTTCAGAAAACAACTTAATCCAAGGAGTTTACACTGCAAATATAATTATAACTGGTTTTCTTCCTATAACTCATAAATAGAAGCTCTGAAACTGTAGCATTGAAAGTTTGTTCTTAATCCTTCATAATCCCTGGAAGAGATGAACACATCCACCTGCAGAAGAGCTAACATATCTGTATGTGTACAAGTCTGCATACAGAAAACAGGATTTTAGAAGTCCTTTTAAAATGCCAACTGTATTCTTTCATAGGAAGATAATTTTGCTGGGCACATAAGTGTGCAATTATTACATATATTACATGCTTTTAAGGTAGCTCTACAGGGACTCTTTCTCTGTTTGTCCTTTAAAAAGCATGTTTGTCATTCTGCTTCCCTCCTACTCCATGGAGAGAAAATATTTTTCTCTGTGTTTGAACTGCCTTACTATTTTAGAATAAGAACCAGAATCTGGCAAAACAAAATCATGTTGTGCTTGCAGCTCAGCTGAAACAGGTCTTGTAAAGACTTCAAGGATCGGTGGCTTGTCTCATAAAGCAGCACCTTGCCAAAATTGTCCTAACTAACATCACCATGGTTCACAGCCCTATCATGAACATGTTCCTCCCACACCCATTAATCATCACCCATTACCCATTTACGCACCAGCAGCATATTACTCCTGGAAATTTATGATTGAATCCTCAGTAAAGAGGCTTGTAGTTCTCTTCCATAGTGCTTACAAAGGAATAATCTTCATCTTTTGTATTGAACAGGAGTTCTCAGCATTGCTTCTGCTTCTATCTTGTGCCTAGAATGGAGGTGGCTTTATTTGATGGGCAGCAAATGCTCGGCTAGGTCTGCCAAAGCCAGGAGAGCTGCCTTTGAATTAAGGTGCTTGGCAGCATAACCTGACATTTTCATCTGATCCTGAAAAATATCCACCAACAAAAGCCAAACTCCTATTACTAGCCATGGGAGAGCCAGACTCCCATACCAGTGAACTAGTGTACCAACACTGAACACACAAAGTTTTCAGTTCATACTTACTTCCATTCTTCATGTCTTTCACATGTTTTTAAACACTTTGCTAAACAAACATGAAAGGTGACTGATGAATGATGTAAAGACTTGAAAGCTGGCTTTGAATCACCTCAGGAACAGGTTGCCCAGATAGGTGGTAGATGCCCCATCCCTAGAAACATTCAAGGTCAGGTTGGATGGGGTTCTGAGCAACTGTATCTAGTTGAGATATGTCCCTGCTCATTGCAGGAGGGTTGGACTTGATGACCTGTAAAGGTCCCTTCCAACTCAAACTATCCTATGATTTTATAATTCAGGCAGGAAGGAGCCTGTATCTGGCAGCGCAGGGTTTAGCAGCAAGAAAGGTCACCCAGTAAACAGAACAAATGAACCCACATGACTCTCCCTACTGCCAGTATGGGAGTGCTACTGTCCCAAAAGTTTGCTAGAGGATATCTCTGTTTACTGCAGTTTAGATGCACCGTAAAACTGAGAAAGTAAAATGCTGAGTACAAGACAACAGCTAAAATTTTGCCCAGTGTTGTCAGTCAGATTCCAATTAATATGTTTAACCTCAACAATTTCATTTGCTGCCCTACATTCCCTTTGGTGCTCCCAAGCAGCATAAAAATTACATTCAGGATGTAAATCTAAATACAGAGATATTGCCATTTGCACAGCATGCAAAAAGCTTTAGTATATCCCCAAATCTCAGCAGTTTGGCTAGAATGATAGTTCAGTTTAAATCTAACCATCTTGCTTCAGGCTTGTTCTGCCTGCCAAAGGAAAATGAAAAGCTCCCTTTTAGCACAAGTGGATTTCTCTTGTATTTTTCTAAGTGCTCAGGTAAGTGGAGGAAAAGAAATTCTTGTTAGATGCTCAACCATCTGATGAACAGCTATTTCCTACCACTTCTATACCACATACCTTGGAACTTTTTGGTGCTGTAAGTTGCAATCCTGTTAGCTCAATGAGTTATATCTCATTGTGAAAGCCTTGTATACACCACATGAAATTATTTTATTTAATAACATTTATTCCTACTAAGCATGAGAAATATACTTACTGGAGGTGCTATAAATTTGTACACAGAAGATCCCCTCAGTGCAAGAAACTTTGGTGTATACATTCGATCCTGAAGGGAGTCTTGTTCCCGTTCTTCCGTCCAGCCCATGTAGACTATCTGACAGAAAAATCAATAGTGTTGACAAATTCCTCAGACACTTTCTTCAAATGAATTGCAAATATTTCATGCAAGTAAGCTGATGTCTGTCAAATTGTACATAGCTACAAACCCTGAACCACTGACACAATATGGTGTATTGGCAGTTCACTTACAATCGTGTACTTGTCTAAAGGATGCCTGTTATGACAATCCAAAAACATCAGAACAAATATTTATTGCACTAGCAACAACAAAAAAGCTAAGCCACATACTCAGTGGATGTTAAAGGTCTATTACCTCATTAAAAGCTCCCTGAGGTAATTCTACATATTTGCTGACAGATCATGTAAGAGAAATTTAATGCAAGTGAAGTGTAAAGAACCACTAGGCAGGAATACAAAATCAAGTAACTGTTTTTACACTACAATGTAGATATAGCCTCCACATACAAATTCACAATTATGCTTTAAACAATATGATCTTATAAATTTTATTTCCAAATAATGGCGAGCATTTTTTTTTCCCTTCTCAAAATCCCTACATAGGTGTTTTGAACCTCCTTGCTTAGGAATAGCAAACTAACAGACTGTTTTCAGACACTATTTTGAACAGACTTCATCTACAGCTAAGAAGTAACCAGAAGACTGTTGGCTCTTACCACTACTTGCAGATCTTCTGACATAGATGTATGAACTAGAACTTATTCAAACCCATTTTAGGATCTAATTCCCTACCTATCCATCTATTAAGTTTGAGTAATTTAATATAAAATCCTTAAAGAGTAACAGAGTCACAACTATGCCAAATTCTGGAGAACATCTGAACAGGGAATAGACACATCATGCAACTTTTGATTTATAACCATGCCATTAGTAATAAAATACAATTTCCAGTGTGCACTGGTACACTACTGCTATGGAAAGTAGATCAAAACATATTTCATACAGCGCTGCTAATAGAATAGATGTGGTTTAAAATTTCTTTGCGAAACTGATTTCTACATTAACTAGGCATGGGGCATTCTCTGTCTTAAATGTCAGCAATTAACATGTATGGAAAACAGTTTAGAAAAAATAACAACAACCATATCAATAGTCAGTGAGTTAGTAAGTTTATCAATGGTATAAATGCACCTAAAATGAATGTCTGTACTGCATGTTTTATCCTTCAAGATTTGTATGCCACATGCTTTTAAAAAAGCTATTTACACATGTTTATTTCATTACTTTTTGGAAGAGGATTTTCATCAATAGTTTTTCATGGAATACACATTAAAATAAATGGGAGGGGGAGGTCCTGATGCTTTTTTTTTCCCTTTTTTTTTCTTCTTTCTTTCTGTTGGATTGTATTGTAACACACCGGAAATTAATGACTTTTTCAAATGCCCATGTATTAAATCTACACTACTCTCCATCACACTTTATTAGATGTTTTATGGTCTATAAACAAAGACACAGAAAAGGTCCATCCCTCTAACACTTACAGTGAAACCTCAACATTTAATTCTTTTGCCAATAACAAACACTAATACTGTCTTGGGTCTAAGGAACAACTTGTTTTAGTATCTGCTGTTTTGGTGATTAAACAAGTTTATGAAACTCAAAAAGAAGACAGAGCTGTACCACAATTACCAAGAATCAAGCAAAGCGCTCAACACTATATTGTCATGCAATAACTAAAAAGCCACGTTCTCTGAAATCCCTTTCATTCCTGAATGAAGAAAGAGTCAGAAAAACAGCTGACAGGTACAGTAAGAGAAGTTTCCAATTATTTCAATTCAATGTTTATGCAGATTTCCCTCATTTCTCCTGTTTTTTGTGTTATCCAGTGCAGGATAAGTATGGATCCCCATCCCTCTCACTGGGTATGAATCTGTAGAGCTCAGTGACTGAGAGGGGCTACACAGGAGAATGAAATTAGTACAAAAAAATTGTACTACTATGTGCAGAAGTTTGGCACATTTTCCTCTCTGAACTGAAAAATAATGAATGAAAGAGTGATCTCTAATTTCTAGGAATTGAGATACCTATGCTTTTAAATTAATTAAACTGAATTGATTTGGTTGTCTCTTGATTTGTTTCATTAAAATCAGACACACAGTAAGAAATCACCTTGCCTGATGATATTTAATATCACTGAAGCACTGTCTGTAATCTGTTTTCAGTCAGTCTTTTTCATATTCCTTGTTTCTACTTCTACTATTCATCAGAATAACAGGATACAGTCACTCATGCTGTGCAGATGTATTGATATTTCACAGTTGATTGCCTTAATATTAAAGCAGCCATGAAATTTAAGGCAATTGCTCCTTTAGATATTTCTCCCTTGCCTCTGCAGATCATGATGAGAAATTAGATTGATTTTTCAGACAACTTGTTGTACCAATGTTTTATTAACAAAAGGATTTATCCTTCAGACTAAATACCTACTATTAAGCATACAGAAGAACTGTAAAGCAAAGGCTATAGGATTATAAGCAGGAACACTTAGAAAGTTGTTTGAGTGCATGTGCACGTTCACATGTGTGGATTAAAGCAGCATGGGCTGGATTCTGGAAAACAGGGCAAAACTGAACAAATACTTGATAACTATTTTACTTATGTGTTCCTAAAGTGGTCTCAGTTTATCTAACTGCACTGAACATGTGAAGTTAGATAAAATATTGTAATTTTTACATAATGAAGCTGGGAAACTGTTGAAATTTTTTCACTGATGAGATATAATAGAGGTGACATTCTTGAGACATTTACGTTACTGGTAAACATTTTTACTTCTAAAAAAGCTTTGACTATGAACAACTTGAAGAAAAATATTTATTTGGAAAGGGCTCTTAACTTCCCAAATTAATAGTTCGTATGTATATATGTACTGAAATAGTGGACAAATATGAAATTTGACTTGTGTTTTGGAACATATCTTAACGCTGTACATGCAGACTTCACCCAAAATACGGAATCTAATGAGATTCTATCTGAAAAGAAATATTTACAACCACAGGCCCATGATGAATGGAAATAAATGTGAATCACAAATAGACAGTGCATAGCGTGCCCCTTCATGAATTTAAAAACAAGGTTATTTTTTTAATCTTGTAGAGTGTTTTTGAGTCCCTATAAACTGCTGACCATTATTAACAAAGGTGGCAGTGGTGGGGAAAACAGATTTTATTTGTGATAAAATTCCACATAAAAGATTTTTGCAGTCCTGTTTTCTAACTTACCTGTAGTAGCTCATGCTTCAAAATCAAATGGTAACACAAACTAGTTTACTTAGTGGCTGCTGGTTCAGTAACAGAGATTCGATAAGTTATTATGGTTTATGAGTTAAATCATGTACAGTTTAAAAAAATCTATATCTAAGTGATAAATGAAACAGGACACTTTCTTCAGTCAAAAATCCATAAAATCCCAATTTAGTATGTACTTACATCACACGGACATCCTAATCAAGCAAGATAAATTGCCATATTTCATATCTGTCCAATATATTGCTAAAATGATTTAAATAGCCTGTGTGACATTTAATGAGTGAGGTGATTCAAAGATCAGAACAGGTGTACTGACAACTTTTATCTTGGAAGTCTCATATTCATACTCATATTATGTGAAACAGTGCTCTCAAAGAAACAAGACAAATGGCAATGAAAGGTTATTTTACATATGTTTCACATAAGATTTAAAATCATTTAAAGCCTCACTTGCTTAATCATGTTTTGTGACAAATAAGCATCAGTAATGGTCAGTATTTTCTAGAAAATTATGCCATGAAATTATTAATAATGAAGTAACAGCTTTGGCACATATCCCCTTTGACTTTTATTTCTGAAGATTTAGACATGAACTATTTTTTGTTTAAGTTGTGGATGGACATGGTCCTGGGAAACCTGCTCTAAGTGACCTTGCTTGAATAAGGGGTTAAGCAAGATGATCTCCAGAGGTTCCTTATGACCTCCATCATTCTGTGATTCCGTGAAATAAGAAAAATATCAATGTATAAAACCAGAAAATGATTGCTTGCAAAACAGTTTGCCCCTTCAGTTCTCCTCTGTTATATCTCCTCCTTTCTATCCTATGTGCTTTAGAGCTATCACTGACAAGGATCACCTTCATATTTTTGAACCACCTACTTACTCATGTATTATGCAATCTCTAAGCATTTCACTTATTATTGGAGATTATAAAATTATTACGGGAGATTACACATCTATTCTATCTCATATAGCTTAATTTCCTTCTAGGTAAGAACTCATGTTGTCATCTTCTTACCAGACCAAATCTGAGTGTAGATTTTCCATTTGGTTTTGTCCTGTTCTGTTTTTTTTAATGATCACAGAAAAATTAAGGAAATATTTAGGGGTCTTAAACAGTACCAGAGAAAGCAGAAAATACTTCTTGATTATGGAAGATGGTTTTTCCCTTACACTCCAAATAAGTGAAAAATGATAGCTAAGACTGAAAACAGAGTACATTTGCTTTCTTAGCATACAGTATTGTAATCAGAGTGAAGACAGTTTTTTAAGGTAACAAAACTTGCCTAGACCTCTGCAGTAATCTGTCCAACATTAACAGCACTGTTTGAGAAACCTGCATTACACTTTACATTACATCCAACACCATCCCATGAGAAATCTTAGCATGTGCCTAATGAGATCTACCAGATCTTGCTAGAAATCAGGACTATATTGACTTCTTCATGCCTTCACACCCTTCACAGATTTAAAAAGTGGTGGGTACATGTGGATGCAAGACAGCTTTTTGAACAGGTAAAAATCTATTCTTTGCTTTTCCAGGTTTCTCACAATCTTCTTCTTGTTATAATCTACTAATCCAGAGCAATATTTTTCCTCAACCATTCAATTTTTCAACCAATGTAACATATTAGTAGCTACAGTTTATTTCAAAGCACTCATTTTAATTATTTCAGATATCTAAGTATCTGTTCATTGAAATAAATTCTTCTAAATACAAACTCAATTTGAACATTCATTGCACAACTGTGTGCCTTTGTCAAAATGCCAG